GGAAAAAAAGACCCCAGGGGAAAAAAAAAAAAAAAAAAAAAACCCCCACACCAAAAAAAAAAAAAAAAAAAATCATGCCATCAGAAACGTATTGGCACAAGACTGGCTGGAATATTTAAACATTTTTCCTGTCAGAAACGTCCCCTAGTGGACATGGGGGTCTGGGCAGGGAATTTCCTTTGCGTTACCTCGCAATAATTTAGCAAATACACCCTGGTCTATTTTATATACAGTCAAAAATGTCAATTTAAAATTGAATATATATATATATATATATATATATATATATATATATATTGATATATATATATATATATAGTTTGATAGAGACAGACACGCATCGACAGACAAACTGAGCAGCATCCCATATTTGCGTCAAGGTGCGTTACAATTCTCAGCACTTGTCCCTTCATGGGCTTTTAAACAGCACCTCAAAAACTGAAGTGATAATCATTTAAAATAGCACAAAATAATGTTAACAACATATACAAACAAAGAGTGAAACATAAAACATCAAAAATTGATACAGTTCTGTTTTTGACATAACCAGAGTGTTTTTTATTTTATTTTATTTATTTTTTTTATGTACTAAAACTGGTTACGGACTTTAAGTCAACAGGAAGTGAGTTCCAAACTGCAGATCCTCTCACGGACGGAGCGCTTTGAGCAAAAGTGGCTCTTCCGAAGGGGACCTTACGATTTCCATCTAAAGCCGCTCTATATACGTACATTTAAAGAGCCTGAGTGAAAACGTGCCAACTCTTTAATGCCAAAAACAAGTGATTGAAAACTGATTTATTCACTGCATGTTTATGTCTGTAAGGTTGAGATGGAGCTGCACATGAAAACGGCCCTTTAAACCATTCAGACTACCAACACACACAAAAAGTGTCAGATATGACTTAATCACCCCTTGATAATCCACGGGATAATAAACAGTAACTTTCTTACGGAAGTGACCTTTTTTTTTTTTTTATCTTAGAAGGGATGAAAGCGATGGAAAGCCCATGATTGACCTGCTTTGCTTTTGCATTTTCTGCATAGGTTTGCGGTCCATTTTTATCCTCAAGAAAAAGCCATAAAACTTCAGATATCTCACAAATTTTAAAATGAATAAAAATAATAAAATATTAACATACATGAAAAAACCTTTATGAAAACCTTATAGCAGAAAGTACGGTGGTGGTGCTCTAAAACAGGACTACAGTCAGTAGAGTCGTTGGAGAATGGAAGTTTACAATGATTGTGTGCAACGACGACCAGAAATAGATGAACATTCAGATACATCCAATGTAAAATTAGAAATATTAGACAGTGCTTTTTAACTTGTTAAAGTATGAAATGAGACGTGGCAATATAAAAATATTTATGATCGGCTTTACTTCCACAAAGCAGTTGGTGAGTTTGTATATCCGTAGAGCAGTCCCAAAGCCGTGGGTTTGATTCCAGCTTCTCTCTGCTGCATGTCAATGTTCTTTGGTAAGTGAAGGCCTGTGTGTGCGTGTGTGTGTGCGTGTGTGTGTTGGTTAGTGCAGATGGCCGAATGTGGTTCTAGTGCAAATCGCTTTGAGTTGTTATGACTATGAAAGCGCAACATGAAATAAGTCCATTTACCATAATGTAGAAATATGATTATTGTTGCATTTGTTGTTCTTCTTGTGTGATTCATTCATCCTTGCTCTTTATGTTTTGTTTGTTGTTTTTTGTTTTTTTTCTCCCTCTGCAATTAAAACATTGTCATGTCTTCCGGCCTAACAAAGCGAACCTGACGACAGCAATAAGTCTGGAGCCAATTTAGCGTCGTTGAATGTTGCATCTAAGCATAGGTTATGCTTGAAATGTTCTGGTGCAAGCGGCACACTTTGAAAATCACATAAAGTAACATTTTGTACATTTCTTGTACATAGAGAAAAAAAACCCCCCGACAAAAACAACGGTGCTTCATCGGTCAAGTGTAATAATTGTTTTTTATGGCAACGATTGAACAAATTCACTCAGATTTGATCAAAAATATTCAGCAGTATGTATATTTCCAGTGCTTACAGCTGCGTTTCTGTGCACACCACTACATTGATTTCAGTCTATCTTGGTGCCATTTGATTAATAACTGGTTCAGGTTTTACTTAGCAGGCTTTCTGTGTCATCCAGCAACTATAAATTCCTACAACAAAAAATAAAATCAAACATGGGGTGCCTCAAGGTTTCCTTTCTGTGCCTCTTGCACTCAACATCTATATTTTCCCCACTGACTCAGATTATGCTCATCATAAGTATGTCAGTTACACACTATACTCCTGCTTCAACATACGATATTAGAGGACAGCAGTCAACATTCCAATGTCATTAATAATTTGATGGGTCTGATGTTACTGTCCAACGTGTTACAAGAAAACTTTCCATTCCTCCGTTCTCAAAAATACAATCAGTTAATTGTTACGCAGTCCACAGCATCTTACAGTAGATGGTCAATTCAAACACATTATAGAGGTTTAAAATTGGAGTGCCCCAATCAATCAATCCCTATTATTTCCTTAATTTGAGGTGACATACTTACATGTGACTTCGCTCTGATCCACTGATCTCTTCTGTGTCTGCAAAGAATCAGCCACTGTCCCCTTGCGCTGCGCTGTGAGTGTGGTTTGACTGAAACCGCCGACCACCACGTCACATCTATACATGCTGTGGCCGCAAAGCTGCTGCATTTGGACATTTTGTCTCGGGCAAAGAAGCCTAAAACTCAAGTTGTTGGTCTAGTTTGTCCTCAGCTGACCTCAAACATTGTGATTTTCATTGAAGCAACCGCGACTGCTGTGCACTTTATTTTTGGCAAGAGGCTCAGTCGTCTCTGTAGCCTCACCTGCTGTGCAGGTTTTAATTTTTAAAATGTTAATTTAGCAATTTGGACCTCGAGTGTAGACTTTTCATCCAGATCTGAAAGCTCTATTTCGCATGCAGTTGAATCAACTTTGTGTTGTTTCACGGATATTGTTCAAGTTTTTTCAACGAGATAAGTTTGAAACATTTCAGGTGTGACCTTTTAACACATGACAGCGTTAGTTATTTAAAAAAAAAAATCAGTATTGGTCAGGCTTTTTAAAAAATATGTTATGGGACAGAAACCCACAGTCGACGCAATCGGTTCATCCCTGATTCAAAGTCAGTTTAATACACTCCAATTTGATCCTGGTTAGAAAACAATGCAGTTAGCCTGATGTTTAAATGTTGACATTACTACTTTGGTGTAGTTCTTGTCTTTAATATTCTTCAAATATGCTTCTCAGTTGTCCTTGTAAATTGCCATAAATCACTTTCTTTATCTGTAGTTTAGCACAAAGAAGCGTGTCTTTACATGCCTTATCAATCATTAACGTTAAAAACGTTGCACCTTCTGAACCAATGTCACGTTAGTCGATTTTTGTTCACCCTGCAGTTGAAGCCGAATTCACAGAAACCCTTCCAGGGGTGCATCTAGACTATTTTAGAAGTGATGATCACTGATAATCTTGGGATGCCACATCAAGAAAGAAAACTGTACAAAAGTTTCTTTAATGTGTGACATCAGAGACCAAAGGGTTACGTTGGCTTGGATATTTTTTCCAAGACAAAAAAAAATTTTTTGCCCCCCCCCCCCCCCATGTTTAACTCATATTTATGAGCAATATTGGGCGAAGGTCATCATTTATGTGATTGATTACATTTACAAGCACCAAAATAAAAGGTGCGTCCGTCTCATTGTTCCTATTCTAAACAGGAAGCAAATCTAGATCAAATCTAGGTTTTAAACGTTCATCTTTCTAATTGAGGTCATTTTTAAGAAACCTGTTAGACTTTGATGAATTAGTTTATCAGAGCACATTCGGCTGTTTTCAGTCACCAAATACCTGCAAATATTTGATCGCGTTGAACTTGGCAGGTTAAAACACCAAACTAGTTTTTATTCACTTAAACTAAAAAAAAAAAAAAAATCAAGTATATTGAAAACAGTGTTAAACTTACAAATTAAATTTTTGTGATTTAAAAAAAAAAAAAACCTAACATTTAAATGAACTTAAGTTTCACTTTTACAGTGTAGCAATGAACTCAAACACCTGATCTGGTAAATCTTTGACCCGGTGACGGCGACAAGTGACTGAGTCCATCTTCAAGGCGTCTAACATTTCCAGATCTTTCCTTCAGATCTACAAATATTTGTGCAAAGCTTAAAATCGAACAAGTTCTTTTTTTAAATATTATTATTATTCTTGACTACCTCAAAAGAATCATTGTTCTTCCTAGAGCTGAACTTGTGTCCACTGATGTCACTAAAATATCCACATGGAAGTTTGCAGAGCTCAGTTTGGCTGATTACCGATGTTTAAACAAGAGAACAAGGGGGGCAAATGTTCAGAGGAGCGCCACAAAGATTAAAAGGAAGCTCAGAAACCAAAACCGCAGTGGGCAAAATCGAAGGGAGACATGCAGCTGGGTCTGGTGTGTGTGTGTGTGTGTGTGTGTTTTTCATGCTGCTGGTTCAGTGCCTCTGCTGTATTTTTAACATGACAGGCGGTAAACAGCCGGAAACCGGAGAGTCGAGATGTGGAGCCTGCGCTCGCTCTCCCGTGTGCCACACCGTGACCAACGCACAACCTGCTTTTAGCAGCGCTCCCATGAGAAAGGCAGGGAAAGACGGGACGACATGCAGGCGTCTTCGAGATGAACAACTTAAGGTTTCATTCAGAAACTCTTAAGAAAAAGGCTGGTCGTTTTTGCAAACTTGGCATCTATTAACACATTACTTTATCTAACAATCCAACTATTTAATGCAAAAAATTTCAATTCAACAAACTGATTTTAAACACATTTGACCCCCAGCGGTGTCTTACCTCCGTATCCCTGGTGAAGTAAAGCGACCGCGTTGTTTTCCAGTCTGTAGAAGTTCCTTAACTTTTTTTTTTCTTCTTTTTTTTCTATTCCTCAGAATTGCCCTTCGTCCTATTCATTCGAGCGCTGACACACACTGACACACACGCACAGCATGACAAGAGGGTCACATGGCCGTCGTGGACAGCTACGGCAGAATGAGGAACTCAGAGTAGCTGCTTGGGGATTTTTCTATCTTACCCAAACTTCCTGGTACAATTGTCTAATGATTATTTGCATAATCAGCAACTGACACACACACACACACACACGCTGCATTTCTCATAGAATCTGCAGCAACAGATTCCATTTGCCAAACACCTCGTGTTAAATGGGACCTTTTTAAAACCTCCAAATAATTCTCCTCAATGCCTTGCTAAAGTATTCAATCCCCCTTTTAAACTTTTCCATGTTTTAGTACAAAGAAAAACTTTATTATGTTCTGTTTGAGCTTCATATGATTGCCTAAAAGTTTTGCAAGATGCAGAAATCAAACTTGACACCCGCTCAGGGCGGACACACGGTGGTGGCAGCATCATGCCTTTCTTTAGGTTAAACAGAGAAGCGGATCACAGTCAAACGGGGAAAACGGATTGATAGCGGTGTGTAACTCCAGTCCTCAAGAGTCACTGTGTTGAGGCTTTTGTTTTTTTCACACCGCACCATTCAGATTTTCATTTGTAAAAATAAAAAAGACCCATGAATCTTTTCCTTCCACTTCATAACAATGCACAAATCTGTGTCAAACTCCCAAATAAATACATTGAAATCTATCAGTGTAGCATGGCGCAAAGTGAAAATAAAAACTTTTCAAAGGAACTGTGTCTTTATTCTCAATTCTGCCTCCACGCTCCCTGCTGGTCGAGCTGTGGAACTGCAACAACACAAGTAACTTTCTCCCCCAGACTCCTCTTTTCTTTTATTGATCATTTATTAAACTTTGTTTAACATAGGAAATAGAAAATATACTTACAGAGAGTCTGAAAGAAAGAGGAAACCATGCAAATATTCTACATGTGGAATTATGACGAGCAGAATTAGAAATGACTCACAAATCAAACAACATGAGAGCTACAGTATGTTTGCTCTCTACAGTATCGTCGTGGTATAGGAGTCAGAGTTGAAGCTGTAGTGAAGGGGGGTTGGGGGGGCTGTGGTGTGTGTGGGGGTGGAAGGACACATGCAGATGGATTTATACAAATAATGAGCTTGTATCACATTTTTATACAAATGAGCAGGAATGCTATTCAGCCAAACATTCGCACAAACACACACGAGTTAGTGTTCCTGGAAGATCTGCTGACTGTTGCATATTTACATTTAGGAGTAGTTTGTCGGTTTTTGGCCACCGCGCTTACCACTGAGAGGAAGAAGAAGAAGAAAAGAGAGACACCACTGCAGCTGAGGTGATCTGCACCTGTCCTCTAAAATAATAAAAATTAAACGTGTTGCTCTTTGGACCAGGAAACAAGTGGACAGAAACTATCAGTGGGGGAGGTGGGGGGGGTGAAAAGAAAGGAAAGACTCTACAGGCCAGTCAAAATGCATGGACAGTGTCCTACCAGGAAAGACAATCTGGCTGTAAATGTGACTCACCCTGAAAAATAAAGTGAATTGCATCTCAAAGGTCAGAAGAAAAATCACATTGTGTTTTATTACCTTTTCGGAATAAGGAAGTGTTACTTTTATTGTGCAAATCAGTAGAGAAAACAACAAAAAAACCACGCCAAGAAGACACAGTGGTAACGTTTCTAATTTAACAAGGCAGTACTACAGACGGGCCTGAAAGTGCATTCTTCCTTACTGCCAGAAGGTGGCGACTCCTTGGGTTGAAACGGAAGTCGGTAGGTATTGAAGTCTAAAAGAAGAGCTGACCCCACTGATTTAATGGTTTACATTGAATCCAAGTGTGGTATACATTAACAAAAATAATTCTCTAATAATCCATGTATGATCTGAAGCACAATCTACACCCCACAGTGGCATTCTGTCTCTTTTAATAAGCATTTTTTTTAGCTTTGTGAACTAAGAATATCAATAAGTGCTTTAACCAAATTAACATGTATTGAAAAGCGAAGCCACAATCACAGATGGTTGCATAATTAACTTTCCGTCAGCACCTAAAAGGTCACAGATTAGCCCTTTTTATGCATCACGATGTTTTTAGCACACAAAATGACTTCCCTGAGTCTCATTTGTATTCAGTAACACAGGAGCAGCGGCCTTATTCGTTCTTCAGAAGTTGAAAGTGTATTTGTGACTAGGAGTATTTTTGCAAAAAAGAAAAAAAAAGAAAGCTTTTTTTTTGGTTGATAGGATAAATAGTGAAATAATTTTTTTTAATTATTATTGTATTATTATTTTTTTCCTCTTTTTTTTTTATTAAATGAGACTGACCCTTGACCCTTGACCTGTATCCAGATATATAATCTTCAAGCAAATGTGAAAGCAGTGGGGTTTTGATGCTTTTGTGAACCGATGAGCTTGATTCTTCTCTAAAATTTGACTTTTCTTCTTCTCTAACGCAGCGCAAAACTGAATAAACGCATTTCCGAACCTGACAAACTACTCATGTAAGGCTGTGATAATACTTGCATTATTACTGTAAACGTGTAAAAAATAAAGATACGCATTTTAAAGGACGCGTCACGTCACTCTTCTTCTGGAACATCTCGTTCTCTGCGGAAACAATTCGGCATGAATCGAACTTCCAAAGCTCCGTGTTTCAGTTCGGCTGCAGCTGAGTCCATGTCTCTCTGCTTTAGCGTCGGCTCAAAGGAAGCACAAACCATTAACTGGCAATATACAGCCTCTATCGGCACCACTGCTTCTACAATCATGCTACTCCCACTGTGACCCATTATACCAGCATGTCTCAGTGGTCCTACAAACTGCTCGGACTATTACAGAGCACCATTTTCTCCCTCCTTTCAGTCCTTCAGCCTGTGTGTGTATTGAACCACAAAGACTGAAAGCTAAATTTGTTTGAAAAGAAAAAAAAAACAAAAAAAACTACCACTTGTGTACTCCCGACTCTGAAAAGCATCAGTCGTTCCACTTCGCAAGATGCACCGAGCGATCGCATCTCGACGCCTCAGCAGGGGCGAAGGCTCTGCTTGAAGGCGTATCCGCGGCGATGGTCCTAGCCTCCAGCCGCCGGACTGTTTCGAGCGAACAGGTCCACTGTGACGGAGACTTTAATCCGTCCCGCGGCGCGCCGTCTGGTGGAGCGGGGACGTGGGAGCTTAGCTGTTCCTCTGCGCTGCGTCTCGCTGGGCTGAGGCAGAGGAGCTGTGGCTGTCCTCGGCGTCTTCTTCGTCTGCGGAAGAAGTGAAGAACGTTCACACTCTGGACCAAGCAAACTACGCCTCCTATGTTTTCTTCCTCCATTTGGAAAAGCCACTGGACTCGGTTAATGACACGGTTGTGCGATGTAGGCCTTGACATCCCATAGGAATGCAAGTTAATGATCAATGAAGTCCTCTAAAGTTGACTGAGTTCATCCATCGGATAATGATTAATTGATACACTTAAAATTTTCTTAAAAGCATGAATTTTTTTCTTTTATCAAAAGTCTGTCAAATTTTTTTTAAACATACTGAATTAAAATCAACTCAATTTTAAAGGGCCAGTATTATGCGTCTTCCATTATATAGCACAATCAGGTAAGTATGTCACCAGCAGTTGTTTAAAAAAATGGTACATATGTCAAATACAACTTAAAAAAACATCTTGAAATTGGGTTTCTGTCTCTTTAAGAAACTCCCGCTCTTTCTGAAACTCCATCTTTAGGAAGTCATCAAATCTTAACAACTTTTTTACCAGCGTTGCTCTGAGTCGTAGCTCGTAAAATGAGTTCAGCTGCTGCCACAGCTCCACCAGGTGTCTGCTAAACTGCCGACGGCTAGTCTGAAAGAGCTGAGTGAGAAAGTCGTGGGATCTGGGGCTCTCTGCGAGGCGGAAGCAATGGTTGCCACGGGAGATTACAATCAAAGCAACACTCCGAGGATTTTATTTTTTTGTTTCTGATGAAGGGAAAAACATTACAACATAATGTAAACCTCAGATTTTTTTTTTTGCGTAAAACTGCACCATTAAACATCATTGTCTGTCTGTTTAATCTAGACTGACACAGAGACATAGTGGATTAATTTACCTCCTCCTCCAGCGTTGATGTGCAGCTGGGACAGAGACAGGGTGAGGGGCAGCTCTCGCCCGTCAGGGTCGGTGGGACTCTGCAGGATGTCGTGCAGGGCGTTCCGGCGGCCCGTCCTGCCAGAGGCGATGAAGTCCGCATACGTGCTCTCAACGTCAGACATCTTTCACGCATTGTTCGGACAGCAACACCTGGAACAACGAGAAGGCCGCCTGGATCTTCAACAGTGTTTTACTCAGCAGTAAAAAAGCAGGAATTTGTTGTCGTGTAACTTCCTGTGAACTTATTCCAGGTTTTTGTTTTCTGAAATTATTATGCTTCCAAAATGAATCGTGTGTTTCTGGGCCACCATAAGTTAACTTAGAATTGAAGAGTGAGAGGAAAAATTACAATATTTTCAAAATTTGAATCACTAAAAATCTGAAAGTTGTGACACGCCTTTACTGTTTTATGCGGCCCTTTTTCTCTGATACCCCTAAATAAAAACCATCTAGAAAATGTCCACCTAGGGGTGGCCAACAACAGAGCCACTTTGGACCAAAACAAATTTATTTTTCAATTCACTAAATACAGAAATATTTTCTTGAAGCGAATAAATAGTCCCCTATATTTATAAATATATGCTGTTTAGAAATTTGTCACTGCTGCCACCAACTGTTTTGGGGGGGAACTGCTCTTATTTTGTAGGTGCGCTCTGCTGGTAAGCTACGGTGACAACAACCACTCGCTTGGCATCAGTCACAGGAAACATGAAGGAATATGTTCTTAGAAATTGGATGTTATAAAGGAAACACATTTACCAGTAGAATAGGGAATATTCAAGGTTTGGTGTTTTTGCAGTGCATGAACAGGGAGACTGGTTAGTGTGGATGGAAATCCTGGAGGAAAACCTGCAAGACTCCTGGAGGTTCTTGGAAATTGAAACATCCAACAAATGTGTCAGAAGGACTTGAAAATTGCTATTTTCAGACACAATTTTAACTCAACATGCAAAGCTGGGAGACACATGCCCCTAAAGACTTGCATGAAATTAGAAACAGATTTATTATTATTATTATTATTATTATTAGTTATTTTTAATGTTATCTATTTTATTTTAACATTGTTTTTCTTTCCTCTTGCCTGTTGTTCTATGGCAGACAGTCCGCATGAAACATATTAAAAACGACAAAAGTGAGATGATGTGAAATGTGAATCATAAACACATAGCAAGGGTAAATCCTCAAATTCAAATTAACTGCACAGACGGAAGTGGCCATATTTGTGGGAGGTCGCCAATAAATTCCCACTAAAATCTAGAAGGAGGAGATTTTTAGAGTGTTCAAGGCCTGCTTAAAACGTGTCTTACCTTTTACAGACAAAGCCACCACAGCAAACAACCCGGAGCTACATTTTGTCGGACGTGATTTCAGGAAACGGAGCGCGAGAGGCCGACATCACATCAAACGATCCAGATAAACAAACAAAACGCAGCCAAAGCTGGAATTGAAGCAAAGGTTACCAAACACCCCGTGGGGTGGGGGTAATAATCCCAGCACTGTACACACTAAAAATCGCGAGCAGTCACGGCATTTCAGACCAGAATCACATCAATAGGACGCTTTAAAAAAAAGTCCTCAGTGTATCCTCTCTGGACGCTGCATCTTCCTCCTTTCCAGCCAATTAGCGGGCAGCAAGCCGCGTCTGCGCGCTGATTGGACACAGCACACAAAAGGATGAGAGGAGAGAGCGGAGAGCAGCACTGAGGCTCACGGTGCGTTCAGCGTCATTGTTGAAAAAACTAAACAAAAAAGCAATTAGGCCAATCAATGCGTTTCATATTGAGTATAGTGAAGGAACATAGGTGCGTTCTAGTGCTTCCAAGATACTGTAAATCGGTTAATTTAGGAAAATTACACTATAATTGATAAGGAAAACTGGTGATAAATATGGCCAGAGCTGCCAACGAGGTATATACCGTAATTATTGTAAGGACTGATGATTAGGCGGTTTTCCACATCGCTGGAACTAAGTGAATTTGACTTTGTGCGTAATAATCACAGTTGAATTGGATTGCATGTAATTAAATAAGTTGAAATTATTGGATCGTATTTGCCTGAATATGATTGATGCAATTATTATATTTTTATACAATTTAATTTAAAATGCTTAAAATTAAATATTGTAACTAATTCAATTTTCTTTAAATTGATTTTCAGAAATGCATCTGAATTGGTCCTATTTGTCTTGTAAAGGGTCTAAAGATGACATTTCATGATAATTGGGGGCCACATAAACCAAATGAAACAAAGTCAAAGTTTTGACTGGCCATTTTAGCAAGGGGTATGTTTTCCTTTTAATATGTAGATTTGCTGCTGTTTTTATGATTATTGTCCTGATTCATGGCCATGCTTCTGATGTCTTCCAGCCTTTCTCTATTTTGACAATTGCAGCTCTATAAAGCTTATTTTTAGATTTCTTGACTCACTCACACCTGCTGATGATCAATTAATTGCTGCATTTAATTAATAATGCCAGGTACTTCTATGTACTGAGTATATTCAAATGTAAATGTTTTTTTCTCATACCATTGTAATTAAATATAGATGTGCTTATGATGATAATAATAGATCAACTAGTGTGGTAGTAAAAAAAACACAAATAAAAAGGTGATTCAAACATTACACCTGAATGCAACAGAGAGCAGAATACTACAGAATATGCTGTAGCTTTATATGTACATTCATTAAATGAATGTGTGGGAGTTTGTTGTGTTTAATCTAATTAGTACGACTTTAAAAATAACTTTGTTTTCAGGCTGGTTAAAAAAAGGGGAACATTTTGAGTAGTACAGATATTTATTTCCTTAGTTTTTAACTGAAGTTGTATTCAATGGTGGAGCGTGTTTATCCTGGAAGAAGAATAGTTTCTTTGTTTTAGCTGGAAACTCGTCACAAAAACATAGTTCTAAGCTATAAGGGAGAGTTATAAGATAGAGACAAGATTCTGCAAAAAGTCTACAGGTACAAGAATGAAAAAGCAAATAAGTAAAAAAATAAAGATGAGTGAAATAAAGACTTTTACCCTTATTGTTACAAAAGAGTATGAACTTCTGATTTTAGGTCTTAATCCAGACCTACAGAGAATGTTAATTATTATTCTCTGTAGCCACAGGATGGTGCTGCTGTCCGTTAGAATAGCACAGCTTCAGTTCTTGATCCTGCTAGTCTATTACTGCAAAAGCCACAATGTATGCAAGGCAGTTTCAGCGGATTATGGGGTCTGTTCTCGTAAAAAAGCGTAATTAATTATAGAAAATCCTCCCTAAACCCTAAAGTAGGAGGGGTAAACGTTGGGATTATGCAAACTTACTGTCAACACCCAGCCCCACCGTGTGAGGAGCATTGTGTCCCAATGTGTCCCTGCAACTTGAATGAGCAACGCTTTGCTCAACTTTAATTGCCATTTAAGCAAAGAAGAGCATTTGTGTTTTTTTTTTTTTTTCATGGATCAAAAACAACATAAAATGTCTTCCAGGCCCTCATTAGCCAATCAGGGTTGTCGGTTCTAACACCAGTCAACTCCATTGGTGCTGGTGTTGCTGCATCAGGATTTAGAAGAAAACAGTGAAATAATATTGTGAGGAATTTGATTCTTTCAACCTGCATGCATCTTGCTTCCTGTTTCATGTCTGCTGGCAACAGTTCTTCTTTATCTACTCTTATCCTTGTCACGATTTGACAACCTCTAATCTGACTGGATGCAGTCTGAAGGTTCAGGACATAGTCATGAATTCAGGATTATTTTTGCTAATTTCTGACTGCAACATGAACTTGTTTACTTGCATAAATGGAGATGCATATTAAAGCCCACTTCAAAAACAAAAAAAACAAAAGCTCAATTGACAATTTATATTTCTGAACTGTAGTCAGGCCTTTCAGACCGTTTTAGCAGGACAAATAAAACTCGTACCAGGTTCAACCAGATTCCAAGGTCTTCTGCTTTTGTCTGGTCTTTAATGTTTTCACGATGTTCATATTTGCGTCTAATAGAGCAGATAAAGTTGGCACAAAGTTGTATCCTAAAATGAGCAATACTTGTAAATATCCACGATTCTCTTTGTGGCGTCTTGGCTGATTTGCTTTGATTTCCCATGATGCCACACTGTGAAGGAGCGTGTCAGAAGTCTTGCCTTAAAATACCTCCACAGGTCGGCCACCATGTAAGAAAAATTAATGTTATTAATGAACCCAGTTGTGTCTTACAAAGAACATGGAAACATAATCTGGGCTTTCCCAAATGGCTCAAATCACAGCAGTTTTCCTGTATGAAAAGAAAGCAATGCAAAATTCCCTAAAAAAAATATTTCTTTTATGATTCAGACATTTAATAGAAATAATTTACTTGGGTAATCCTCACTGACTTGAAACAGGAAAAGTTTATAATGTCAGACAGTGAGAACAATGGAGTTGTGCTGTGGGGGTTTTAATATAGTGTATGTAGATATTTCAGCGGAGCATGCACGAGTTCTGATTAAGCGCAGACTTCATGAAACCTTCAGGCAGCGTCTTTCCAGAGTCATGATGCCTTCCTGATGGACAATAAACAGCTTCACTGGAGCAGACAAGAGACTTGCTTAAGGGAATTCATTTTTCAGACGAGGTCAGATGAAACTTTAATGTCACCCACTGAGACGTCGGGTCATTAAAGCAGCAAAGGCCCAAGCATTGCTAGGAAAAGGGTGAGACGACACATAAAGAGGAGTACGTACATTCAAATACATGAGCACTGTTTCAGCATACATGCATCCTCTTTATGTTTGGTAGTTTGGTTTGTGTTAAAATTGCTACTTTCTGAGGCATCACAATGTGACATTTTGGAGGAGATGTGTGTGGTTAATCGGAACATCCACAGTCATTTCTTGCTCAATGAAGCAAACGGTGCGTATGAGCACAAGCGCGTTCAAGATTTAGCTTGCCATTGATGCAGTTGGCTGTGTGGCATTTGAAAATAGCTTTCAGCTGACTGAACAATGAGCTGCTTGACAAAGGGGAACAGAGAGCAGAGCAGACAGAAAGAGACGGGAACGGATATAGAAAGAGCCAGATTTGGACAAGATGAAGAGGATCTGCGTATCCTCTGATTTACTCCGTTCAGCTAGATTACAAACTTTTCACAGCCTCCTTTTGTTGTCCATCCCCGCCGTGTTAGAGGCTTTGTCCCAATTTGGCATGTGTGTCTGCACTTATTATGTTGTTCCCAGCCACTTCAGCACAGAAACAGGAGTTCCCTCTCCTCTGTTTTGGAGGCAGAGTGAGATTTGCGTGAGATATGCTAAAGGTGAGACCAGTCGGGAACGGAACTTGTTGTAGCTAAACTTCATTCCATGTTAACAAGCTCCAATAATGTGCGATAGAGACGATGATGGACCCAGTCCACAATGTAGAACAGGCAAAGGAGGCAAGTGAAGGTGAATAATTTACTTTAAAAATATCAGAATACATGATTTACAATCAACAAGCGAGAGTGGGAACGAACGGGGGATAGGGTACATGAGGATTACTGGAGAAACCAGCAGGAGGTTTCTCCGGTAATCTCTCCAGAGAGAGAGAGAGAGAGAGAAACATGACGATAAATAAATGATAAAGAGTAGATATAATATAAAATAAGTAAGAATGGACTGACCTAAGGTAAAACAGAGGCAAAGAGGATCTAAATCAAAACAAGAGTAAGACAATGATTTATCAAAACTATAAAACAACCCAAAATCCTGACACTTGCAGGAAATAGTTATTTATTGTGTTGATGTTGGTATCAAGAAAAACCCAAACGGTGTGGGTGTTTCCCTCCTTTTTTTTTTTTTTT